GGAACCACGGCACGAAGGCTGGAACCACCTTCCCTTCATCCCCCGACTGCTTGTGGGGCTGAGCGCACAAAGGTGGTGCCCATCATCTTCTGCTGCCCTGCAAGTGCTTTTCTGGCTAGGTAAAAACCATAGATTAGCTCTTGTCCTTCTCCTTCTACACTAGTGATACATTCATTTGAAAACTTCCTCTGTATTATAAACGTTACTTCAAAATGACAGCAGTCAGATTATAATATAATTTATCCCCACTTACGTGGTACAAGTTAAAACCTTCCTAGAGAAGGAAATTTTGCCTAAGATTGAGTTCTGCTGTTCACAGGGTGGTTTTAGTTAAGCATGAAGAAAGCGAGTGAGAACTGTGGTCAAAAACCTTTTAAAGATCCCCTCATCAAATCCACAGTTACTAGAACAGGGTAGAGATGATGCTCAGGAGATGCATAACAGAAGAAAATGCACTAAAGCTGTCAGTGCCCGATCCCATTACATCCGAGCCGCTGCCATATACCCAGCCACTCGTACGCCAGCTCGGGATTGCTAAATCCTGGCATCAGACAGAAGCGTGCTGGGCACATGATCTTATTGCAGCCTGCTGGTATTTAAAGGGGGCCTACAGGAAAGCTGGGGAGGGACTTTTTACAAGGGCATGTAGTGATAGGACAAGGGGAAATGGCTTTAAACTGAAAGAGGGCAGATTTAGGTTAGATATAAAGAAGAAATTTTTCACTGTGAGGGTGGTGAGGCACTGGAACAGGTTGCCCAGAGAAGTTGTAGATGCCCCATCCCTGGAAGTGTTCAAGGCCAGGTTGGATGAGGCTTTGGGCAACCTGGTGTAGTGGAGGGTGTCCCTGCCCATGGCAGGGGGGTTGGAACTAGATGACCTTTGAGGTCCCGTCCAACCCAAACCATTCTATGATTCTATGATTCTCACCAACAGCAGGCGAGCTCACCACCCTTCTCTGCTCTCCTCCCTCCTGCTAAATAAGCACGGGAACACACGGGTACCAGCAGCATCACACTGAGAGCCAGGGCTCAACCCATCTGACAGCGATTCTGCACCAAAGCGCTGAGACGCAGGCGCTGAATTCAGCACTGTTGGGAATAACTCAGCCTCTCCATGTAAAACCTCATGGCCGCTGTGACAGGCAGTCAGGGCAGGTGCACGAAAACACCTTCAAGGCCTCTCAGCCCGTATCTCCTCTCCGTTTTACATGAGGAACTTGCACGTAATTGCATTTGACCCTGAGCTGGCAACACGCAGCAGCAAGTCTCGCACGCAGAGGCGATTTACTGCTTTTCCAACAACGTGAAACCGTATTCTTACGTGGTAATTTGAGCCACAAATCACCGGAGTGAACAGAAGGCACAGCACTGATACCTCAGTAAATCGTCTGACATGGTATTACCATGGAAAACCAGGATTAACGTTTACCTTGTCTGCTTAGTCAGACCTACACGCCGCACCCTCCGTGACGGAAGGAAGGCTGGGGTTTGCTGGGAGGGGACTGGATGTGTTGGCTCTTCCCCTCTCCTTTAACCAACCTGGGTAACATTTTGTACCTGCAGAGCTTCCTACCACCAAAACTAGTCACAGTATCTGGAACATTTATATGGAGAA